ATTTTGTATTACAAATGGGAAATTGGTAATCAGTTTGATCATCTGATTATCAATTTCCCATCAATTTCCCATTTATTTGGCATATATATATATATATATATATATATATATATATATATATATATATATATATATATATATATATATATATATATATATATATATATATATATATATATATATATACAGGTGATCTCGTGTTCGTATTTTAGCCAATCAGCGCTCAGAAAGGGTTGTCCGGATAGAAATCCATTTTGATGTATTCAGTCAATTATATCTTTCGTTATTCTTTATGAAACTAGTTGAAATTTTGTAATTATGTTTGCTTATGAGAACTATAGCTCTGACAAAAATATGGAATCGAAATAAAATATATTACAGGAGATATTCAGTTGTTTTAATCATAAAATGGATTTCTATTTGACAACTAGTGCCAGTACTTTTCCGCGTATCAAGATCATCTGGATATATATGTATATATATATATATATATGTATATATATATATATATATATATATATATGTATATATATATATGTATATGTATATATATATATGTATATATATATATATATATATATATATATATATATATATATATATATATATATATATATATATATATATATATATATATATATATATATAAAAGGGTTGGGCAATAAAAATTTATTGTCATTTCCAAAGCATGACCGCACTCAAATATTGAATTGACTAAAAAGCAATGTCAACAGTCATATGTCAATACAATATGTAAATCAATCAATCAGAGTCACTATCTTGATCATTTTCCGATTTATCAAAAGGCAAATGGTGTCTCCAAAGAAAGTATATGTGCAGAAAATTGCACAAGCAGTTATCAAACTCATGTCACCGAAGTGGTAAAGGACATATGTGCATCGGACAACTAAATGCTGTCCTTTTGTAAAGTCTTTGACCTGCAGGGGTGGGTATTTATTGTTTAATTGGTATTTGATAGTTTTCGCGGAGAGCATGTGTTTTTCATTTTTCAATCATTAAACATGTTTTGAAAAACATTATTTACAAGCAGAATGCAAAAAATTTGACCAGCAAATAGCTTGCGCAATTTATTTATTTCAATAATCTATTCCACAATTCGATAAAATGCAAATAAGGTTGTATGTTTAAATATATTATATAATAACTAGCTGGCTAAATATAATGATACAATGAATTTTTAAGTCTTGGACACACGATGCCATTCTGCCAAAGCACGCCGTACTGTATCGTGTTTCAGTTGTGGAAAATGATCTTGATAAGCTTTCAGAATTTCTTCATCAGATTTCAAGACGGTCGTCACCATTTCTCCAGTCTCTTTCTCGATCATCAGCTTGTTGTTCGCGATGACAACAGCACGTTTCCCTGGAAACCAAAGCGCGCGGGGCGATGACGTGAAGGGCGTAAGATAAATGCTCGCTTTGAAGTGCTCATCGCTGAGGATATCTGAGGGCTTTATTTTTGGGACGAATGAATAAAACCGCCTCCAGCGACCGATAAATAAATCAAGGCCTTCTACTGGTGGATTATTTGGCTTCACCATATCCCCTTTGCCGTGCATTCTTAGTATTTTCCCCTCGTGCCGGACGTATTTGTACTCCAAAAAGCCATCTTTGAAAATTGGGGACTCTTCGGTGAAATCTAACGAAACTGTGCGAAATATTGGGAAGCCTGTGCCACAATCTGCCAAGTACAGGTCGCCATCTTTCTCAAGGCCTCTTATCAGTACGATTGCGTGATTCTCTGGGGATGTAACTGTTGATGTTACTGTAGAGCGAGCCAGGCATGCATCGAACCCTACACCTTTTAACAAACCCCATGTGAATGTGTTCATCTCGTAACACAGTCCACCAATTCCTAGAAAAAGAACGATAACAACATTTTTGTTCGCAAGAACACTTGGATTGATAATGAGTTATTTAATGTCGAGTGCACCAGGAGCGGGGATCTAGCCTCATCTGCAAGGAGGGGTGCAGGTTTTCCATGGGGTGGTGCATGAGGGAA